ACCTGCTGCATTGCTTGTTTGTAGAAACTTTCTCACTATGTGGACAGAGAAGCAGTGGAACAGGTCAACCAGAGGTTATGTAGTCTGCATCCTTGGAGGTTTTCAAAACTGACTGGATAAAGCCCAGAGCAACTTGGTCTGATCACGTAGATGCTTTGAACAGGAGATTGGACTAGAGAACTCCTGATGTCTCTTCCCACCTGAAATGTCCTATGATCCCATGGAAGGTAGTAGAAAACAATTTATATGAAAATAATGTGAATGGCTAGTTAAAATAAAAATAGCAATAAAGCCCTAATAAAGTCCTAGTGGTTTCAAAAGAGGATGAAGATCTTGTGTCAAGACTATAAGATATTCACAGGTTGTAAAATTTTCTATAATGTAGTAGCATGAACAAGGCCATTTAGGATAGATCACAAACTTAACGACAAACTGCAGATCTTAGTTTTTCAAATCAGTGGCAGTGCATTTTCAAATGCACTTCTGTGAACAGGAATAATGCATAAACTCTCTCTACGTTAAGAACTCCTTAGATGGTTTTAAAAATTGATGCTGGGCATTAGCCTTCCTCTGTTTAGCTTAAGGATACATTTTCTCCAAAGGGATTGTAACTGAAATACAGCTCTCAGATTAACAATCCCCAAAATTTGAGGTGGCTGAAAAAGTTTGTGTATTGACTTAGAGCCTTAGACTGAAGAGCAGTCGTAGCAGATTAAAAAGAAGCCTTATGAATTTTTCCCTTTAAAAAAGTAACTTCCTTTATTTTTAAAAATAGTTCCAGGTGGTAAGTGCATTGCTGTCTGTATAGAAGTAGAATTACCAAAATGCATTTTCAGTGAACTTTTGTGTATATTGTACAATGACAATATGATTGTACTGACTGACTGTGTAAACAACTGGGCATTGATATAGATTGTACGATTCCCTCTGCATTTTTAATATAAATGTACATGGTTGCTGAATCAATGCAAAATGTTAGCAGCAAAATTCTTACCAGAAGACTCCACTTACAGAGGTTAAAGACTTCAGTTATTACGGTGGAATACTCTGTAGTTGTAGAGTCTAATTAAAAGTAACTATTAGCCATTTTGTGGTTGCAATGTCTAGATAGTATTTAAACTCTTCATTCCTTTGAATAAAATAGGTGATACAAAAGTTTTTCAGAAAAAGACCATCAAAAGAAAATTCTATCAGTGTTTGCTTTTCCTTTCCCCAGTGTTACTAGTAGAAGCTTAGATGCTTTCAAAGTTTAATTTCCCCCGAAAATTAATGTGGCAGTTTCTCTGGGTTATATTTTATGGAGTTAATTTTCACATACAAAATATCAATATCTGCAAATACCAACTTACTATACATGCTATGGCCCAGGCACTACTCAACATTTATGTGCAGATTTCTTGCTGAAGTTATTTGTAGCTGCATTTACAGATTGAATTCAGTATAATTTTAAAACTTGTCTTCTTCGAGGTTATGTACCAAATTTCAGCCCTGTGAAACTGAAAAGAGAGTCCTCCATTTTTTCTGTATATGTTACTTTATGTAAAATAGTCAACAAGCTGCTTGGAAGTAAAATGTAAATGAAGAAGCAAAGGAGGAGAATTTTAACATGACTTAGGCACTTCTGTAGCAGAAATAAATCCTGTGTACCTTGAGCTGTTTGTTGGTGAGTGAACATCCTACAACTGCACATGGCAGCAAGACAAGGAGACCTTTACATAGCTGTGAAGAGAGTATGTGCAATCCTCATATGGCACAAAAAGAAGCAGGCATTACCTGCTCACAGAGTTCTTCAGTAAAGTAGAAAGTAGACCTTACTGAGAGTGCATATGCTAGTATGAAAGGAGAAAATATCATAACCTGTTAAATTGGAGGGTGAAGATGGAAGATCAAGTACTATTGAGAAGGTACTGTTAAAAATAATGTTCAAAATATCTGATACACTTTGAGAAAGCAGGGTGGTAACTGTCAATGGTTCAGTTGACTTTGAAAAGTGTGCTGTAGAGTATGACAAACTCCATTTAATTCCTCCCTCTTGTCCTGGACATTCTCTTCCTTGCTAGAAAACCTGTCTTTGAAAAACTGTCAAGATGGATGCAGAATGTGAGTGTCATTCTCCAGTTTATCTTGCCATATCTTTGAATAGTGGAGTGGATGCAGGACTGTCATTTCCTCATACTTGACATATTTAAAGTAAGAATTTATTTTGAGAAGTATTTTTCTCCAATCTCTGCCATCTACTGTTGGCATTATTGTCTGCGGTGTGTTCCTACATCACATGGTATGGCTACAGTTTGTGTTGCTGTACAACACTTCCATTTTGCTCAGGACTGCACCTTGTATTGGAATGTCCTTGTCAGACCGACTTGTTTCTAATTGCTATTGTAATCTTCAGCTGGTGCAGAAATTTTCTCTGTAGCAGCTAACTTAGCCTCACCAGTCCTTGGGTGCTGTCATAAAAAGGCCTTGATCTCAAGTACTCTAAGGTCAAGAATAAGTTCTGTTTAGGATTATGCTTTCAGATAGGTAAATCTTTTTTTCCTTTAAAAAATAGAATCATACATACAATCATTCTAAAAAATGGAATCATACATCATTGCCGAAGTGAGACAAGTATCCTTTGTTATGGAACTTATCAGAAAGCTGTTTTAGGATGTACTCATTTGTTAATATTGATAAATGTAGATTGATAAAATCCTTATTTTATGCCATTCCTCTCTGATTCATCCTGAGAAATCAGCTAAAGAGAATTCTCTTATTTGTATTTCTTCATTGTTGAAGAGTGCAAGAGACCCTAGTACTGCCCTTCTGGAAACTTAGCCCTTTATTTCTTGTACTTTCAAGTAGTGCTGTTTCAGAATGAAACAATTGCCAAGAGAACTGAGTATTTTAGAGATAACATATATTAACAAAATTGGTTATGTGAGGCAGTATTACATTTTTATGTCAGTCATTCTAGCAGCTTTTTGTTTCCTCAGTCAGTAAAGACTCTGGATTTTATTTTTGTTGAGATGCTTAATTTTTGTTCTTACGGTGATATACTGGCTCAAGAATATTGAAACAGAGTTAGTAAAGCTCTGAAGAAAATCTTGAGATATCAAGATATGGACCTATATGGATCTGTGCCTCCCAGGCTGGGATATCTGATTGTCCTGTTCTGTCATATGAGACACGCATTATTTCTTGTTCAGTTATTTTTCTGATTTCATCTCAACTTCCTTAGAGCTTTGCTCCACTGGAGATAGTTCCATTCTATATTCACTTGTATATGGTTTTGGTTTGATCTAATGACCAAGGGTTGGATTTCCTATAGTATTTGTTAAAAGAAATAATTTGTTATTCGTCAAGGCTCCGTTAATGTTTTAAGACCAAAATTCACAACTGCCAATAGCCTTTCAAAAGACATATTTTCTGTGTCTTTGGGCAGCTGCATCTTCTGACAGTCTCTAGGGAATTGACTTCAGACTCTTAGGGTAAGGACTGCTAGTTGCCTCTAAACCAATAGCTGGACTTGTTATGTTTCTCAAACTTCTACATGTTGACCTATAATTTTAATCCAAATTAGTTTTAGTTTCTTATTTTACTGTTTTCTTTCTGCATCAGCTGGAATATCATCAATAATATGCAATCCATAAAAACTCAGCTGCTGTGGAATAAAGCCTTGCTGGTCTGATTAATACATATAAGTTCTGAATACCAATGGAAATGAAGTGTATGTCATGTTTTTGACAAGTAAACCCTTACCAAATTAAATGAACAGTGCCAACAGAGTTTCACACTGTAACACAGAAGTACTTTACTAGAGTAGATGTAATAATATGATAAATGCTTTAGCTACAATAGGCTATAGTACAACTTTGTGGAAGGTGAGACAACAACAAAAAGGGAACAATGTGTGGGATTTTGAGTGTTACACAGTGTATACGATACCAACTGAGCAAAATAAAGTGTATGAAAGTATGAATTTATATGATTTTATTGGGAATAAAATCTCAGTGTCTTGGTTTAGAGCAGGCATTCTGAAAATGGTGATATTTGCTGCTGTGTTACTTGGATAACAGTATTTCACAGTAGCTATACCATTTCTGTCATTACATACTTATATTTACATATAGTTTACAAGGAACTTGCCAAATCTTGTACTGTGTAATTTCTCCCTCTCAACTTCCTGCTTGCATATGTGCACATGTCAGTGTACACACACACATGCACAGTAGTCCTTCAAGAGCTGTTGACAGAGATTAAAAAGTAGATGCTGTAGACTTCTTGTCACTATGATTTCCATTAAATTTTGAATAAAAAATAGTGTACATCATTTACTAATCTCCTATGAATTTTTGCCATAATAACTAAACTAAATGTAAATTGACAAAATACATTCTATTGTATGATTTCATTTTGAATACTGCAATTGATTAATAGCCAGTTATCTATAAGTTTCACAGTGATTTCTGCAAACTAGTAAGGACAGTTGTGCTTTGTTAGAACTTACTCCCTGTAGCAACCTTTCAGGTGTAGCACTTTCCATTTAAAAAAGTTCTTCATTTTGTACCGATACTTTTATGCTAAAATAAGCAAAACTGCTTCCTGGCCCTTTCCCTGCACTTGTACAGGTGTATTCACATCTGCTTCACAAATGTACAAGCTTCTAAGGAGCATAGTGAAGGGGTGACAAAAAGAAGACATATGTTGATATGTACATTTTGAAAAGTTTTAGAAGATAATGGATGTTTGTGTTTTCTGCAAGATGAAATATTTCTCTTCACTTCTATCCCTATAAAAGTGTGTTTTAATTTTCTCTAAATACTGCTATGTCAGTTTAGCAAACAGGAAGTAGTCTATTTCCTTACTTATCGGGAGAAGAGAGTTTTAAATTTCAGCCTACCTAGTACAAGAACAAACTTCCTTTATGTAAAGTTTGTGTTTTGCCTAATCTGATTGTCTACTTCAACGTATTTCTTCTGACTTATGGCCTGTTTCTCTTTTTGTATTTCTGTTAACAGAAAGCTGACCTTGCAGTTGCACCATTGGCAATTACCTATGTTCGAGAGAAGGTCATCGACTTTTCCAAGCCCTTTATGACTCTTGGAATAAGTATTTTGTACCGCAAGCCCAATGGTACAAACCCGGGCGTCTTCTCCTTCCTGAATCCTCTCTCCCCTGATATCTGGATGTATATTCTGCTGGCTTACTTGGGTGTCAGTTGTGTGCTCTTTGTCATAGCCAGGTAACATGTCAACTTTTGTGATTTTTTTGGCAATTGTTATCATCTTTTTCTTACTAATAATTGTCAAAAGTCACAAAAATTTTCTTACTTTCATACTCTTATATTTTAACTTCATGATGTACAGAAGAATAATTGATGAGGATTCTCACTATTAATTTTCTCCACTGCCATACTAAGTCTTCAGTTTGTTACGTCACTAAGTCTTGAGTATGCTAGCTAGGTTTCTCCTTTTATTTACAAATTTAGAGACACTAGAAAGTTTACAAAATGTCTTTTCCCAATTATGCAGTGTTTAGAAAGACTAGGATTGACATATGTTATTTTGTTAGCCTGATTTCATTTGATGCTATGGTGCTTAATCTCAAACTGAATACTTAGCTGCACATGTTAATTCTGAATGTCCAAATTGGGCCTCTACCTTTTACAAAACAAGTTACTTTATGTAGATTGATATCTTAGAAGTAGGGTAACAATATTATGTTTTTAATTGTGTGCCAAGTAAAATCCCTGAGATACCTCATAATTTAAAGTCCCAGGTTGAAATGTATTTGGAAGCATGTTTAGTTGAGCTTTTGGAGTTAAGGAATTCAGTACAACAATTGTTAAGTTGTAAATTCATTTGATATATAAGGCTTATTTTTTTTTACCAGTTTTCTTCAACTTAGACAAGTAGAAAAACATATTTTGTCAAAAATTCCCATTATATTTATCTTTTCCTTGTTAAGTAATTAGGACTGACTCCAGATACTCACAGAAATATAGTCTTAACATGTTGTAACTTCGACTTTTGCTGTGACAGCAAAAAAAAATGAGAACAGTAAATCAGCAATTCCCAGGGGTGTAAACGTGATCTCTTTTGCAGATTCCTTCTAGTAGTCACTTTTAATTATTTCTTTAAATTAAATACATATAAGCTACATTGTTTTTTATCTCTTCAATATGATTTTTAAAAATGTTTGACTTGATAATGCAATCTCACTTCAGCCCCAAAATTTTTGTGATTTCCTTCTGTGGTACACAGTGGAATCTTCATATTTTTTTTTCTTGTTATGCTGTAGTTGATATCAGGGTTCTCTATCTTTCTTTGGTACTATCCACTTCATTTTGGAGAAGTTGTATCATTCTTCTACTGAGGGGAGAGGCAATATTTTTAGAAACTGGTTTAAAAGTAATTTAGCAAGATCAATTGTACATAAAGTACATGAGGTATTGAAGTGATATAGGTAACACTGAAACGTATTCTGTAACGAATAACTTCACTTGTATGCTTTCTTTAAAAGTCTGCTTTAAAGAGCCAGACTGATGTTGGAAGTTTCTTGAAAGAATAGTAGGTTTTAGTGAACTATATCACCAGAGAGTAAACTCATTTCTGAGGTGTTCCTGTGATACAGATACTTCTGAAAGCAGTATCTGAAAGTTGAGCATAAATCACAAAAGTTGTCTTGTGGAACACCTCATGTACAATATTTATGTGTATGTCCAAAAGTTTTAACCCTATTGTTATCACTGAAGGACATTTTCAACATGATGCACAGTGCTTTTGAGAGGCGGCTCCTGGTAATGTTAGTAGGAGTTGTATGGCTGAGTTCCTACTTGTGCTTTGAAATGTGTCTTTTCATATTTTGTAGGAAAGGTATGTTTTCTTGAAGCCTTTTTTTTATTAAGCTATTCAGTCACTTGATCTCACTAGCAGAAGAGGAAAGAATGGGTTTTTTTTAAACAGAAGTGCCACATAGTAGACCAGTATTGCTGACCTTTTTTTCACTTGTCCATTTTTGTGACTAGTGCCATAAATTCCTGAGGTACTTGGAAGCATTATCTTCATTGTAAAGCAATATGAAATATGTTTTATACTTAGCAGAGGAGTTTGTTTTTTGTAGAGTTGTATAAAATACCTTTTTTATACCTAACTTTATATCAGCCTTTAGATCTAGAGATTTTTCAATACCTCTTAACGTCTACAATCAAATATTGATAACACATTTAGAAATAAAAGATCTAGGATTGTGTAAGACAATCTACAGATTTTATTCGTAATGCAAAATGACTTAATAGTATGTGATAGCATTTTCTAACACTATAGTTCATATAGGGAAACAGGTCTAAGTTAAAAACGCAATCTCCAGTTGAATACTTAAAGAGAGATAAGGATATTATTCAAAAGTAAAAGAGCCTTTTGCTAAAGTAATTCACAAAAGGTATCTGTTATACAAAGGGAGATACTGCTAACTGAAGTGTGGCAGTGAAGAGGACTTTGCAGAATAGTGCTGACTACGTATTTTCAGTACAGATTACAAGTTAGGTACTGCACAGCTGATGATGTTTTTTTCAGTCCTGGTGTTGTGAAACTGTTGGACTGTATGCCTCTAAATTAATAGGTTCCGCCTAGAGTGTCTTATTAAGAAGATTGCTATTTCATAACAATCCTTCCATAATGAATGTTTAACTATCACTGTTTCGTAATAATTACTATGTGTTTCATAATAAGGTGTATCTATGTTTGGAGCAGTACTTAGTATGTCTTTTATGATATGATGTTTTGTAATTACAGCTCATCAGAGTATTCAGTGTAGAATACTTATTTTTAGTTTTAAACCTCCCATTTTTGTGTCAAATGTTTCGTGATTTTACTGTTTTACCGTGTCTTCCAAACAGTGTTGGAATGTAAGAGCTTGGTATATTGAAAATGGAAAGTTCTGTTGTGGCACTTGGATTTTGCCCATTAATTAGTGGTATGGTCATATTTAGGAAAAGATGCAGAAATTGGTAAAAGGTTCAAGAATCTTTGAGAGAGAATTGCTGAAAAGACTTTAATAGAGTAACATATTAGGCGTAACTGGGGAAAAATGTAATTAAATCTTTATTAGTCTTTTTCTTTATTTGAAAGAATGTTGGATTTTCCTTCTAATTTGAGAATCAGGTACAACAAAGGTGGAATCTTTGCATACAAAGCAAGACAAAAAGCTAGGAGAGAGATTTAGTGGTTAGTTGAAGGGCTTTTCTATGTCATTTTCCTCTTGTAGTCCCCCCCAAAATAATGAATCACCTATTTATGTGGGCATTACAGATGTTGTGTTGTGGATAGGATGAACATATATGTGTTGTACACAATGGTTTCTTTAATTACCATTCTTTGTGGGGAATTATTATAGGCTGTTATTTTTCCATATATATGAAAACTTCTTAATCTTGCTTGTTGTGATTGTTGAATCTAAGTAGTTATGGTGGTTAACTTCTGAAAGTTCCTTTCTTTGTCGTACAGACCGATAGCTGATAGATAAAACCAGTCTGCATGACACTAAGCCTGTTACTTTTCTTTGAACTGAAAAGGGCCTATAGCATTTTTTTCTCTTGTGGCAACAGTAATAGATCTGTTTCTGAAGCTAGGTAGCAATGTCTCCGTGTCACTGCTAGCAGTGTCTTGTGTCATCTGATGTTTTGTTGCATTACAGTTCCAATATCTTCCCTTTATGCCTCTGCCTTTACTTGTTTCTTTGATTTAGATTCCCAGTTAAATTCACAGTTTACATGTGATTAGAAGGAAAACTAAGACTGCAATAAAGTGTGCCAGCTCTTTTTTGGAGTTCTGTCAAGTACATGACATTTTCTGATCTGTGTAATGAAAAATCTCAGTTATTGGAATTTGTTTTCATTTCTGCCTGTTGGTGCAAACCATTGTTTCATTTCTAAGAAACATGCTGATTTCTTGTGGTGTTGTATACCAACTTCATAGACACATATTGTCCCTTCTTTTCCTTTAGTCTGTGTATATGAAACAGATGTTTCCTATTTTTGGTCTCTGCAAAATCTAACATGTTGGTAACTGCAGGATACTTCCCATTCTGCACAGACAATATGAAGAAAATCAGTTTCATACTTTTAAAAATGCTAAGTATGTTCGGTTTACATAGGTCTTCCAATTCATGACTTTCAAAATTAATCTTCAGCTGGCTTTCCTCATGATTGTGTTATACTTTTTTGAGAGTCTTATGTATGAGTTTAAACATCCCTGTCGTTCTGAATCTTTTCTGAAAACACAGATTGGAAGCTAAACTTCTTAAATATTTTTGTCTGATAATTTTCGACCCAATTTACTGGATTTCAAGTTATTCCCTGCACATTGGAGTGTTTCTCTGTGTAGTAAGGTCTGTTTGCTGTGAACATGTGACTTTGTGACTTTATGTCTGTCTTTATGACTGACAGACAGCTGTCATAAAGCAGTTTACTCTTAAGTGACCTATCTTCATAACTGGAAGAAACAGACCTGCCTTAGCATGATGCTTCACCTTTATGGATCAACTGTGAAACAGATAAACTACCCTGGATAAAATGGTCCACTAATGAACTCTTATGCTTATACTGAGTTGTCTGGAGTATCAGTGGATATTGTGTAAATATACATTAAACCGTACTTACTGCCCTAATTGGTAATATTGAATCACGGATTATCATTTTTAAAGGGCTTGCTTCACCTTTACTTGTACCACATTCTGTATGCTAGGACTTCTGCTTTTTCCTCCCTTCCGCAGAATCATGCTATCCTGCTTTTTGTAAGTCAAGTCCTTGGGCTGGTATCCGTTGTCAAAGCATTTAGTATCAACTATTTTTCCATTTCCTTGTAAGCAGCGATAAAAGCACAATGAACATTTCATCACCAAATTATATTTTTCTCTTACCAGCTGGAATAAAACATAATAAAAGAAGACAAGAGTTTTAAAAATATCTCCACACATTTATCTTAATCTCTTCTCTGTGCAGAAGCTTAGGAATAGCCTGCTGCTTCAGACTTGAACAGATGCCTGAGCATTATCTCTCTCTGGAGTGCATGCATATCCTTTTACATCTCATCAGTCTTCATTTTTATTTCATATTTCTTGAACAGCTGATTTCTGTCTTTGAGCTTGTCTGATTGATTTTCAAACTACCCCTTGAAAACTATCTTGATGGTAAGAAATTAATGGCAGAATGAGAGGGAACTATTTTTCCAGTTACTATGGAGC